AAAAGTAAGTAGTGATTTTAATAAAAATGTTTAAAATAAAAATGTTATAACAAAATATGTTTCAAGAATAATTAAAAGTTTACATTTAAGTAAAATAAATATTAAACAATAATAAAAATCATGATAAAATATTACAAAATTTACCTATATAATTAAAATATTCAAATGAAAGAGAATTAATGTTTAAATCAAAAACATAATTTAAGCACTACCTATATAGTAGTTTAATATATTTTTACTAAAAATAGGCTTTCAGGGCCACATTATAAATACCTACATTTTTGATTTTTATACACACTATCCATAGATAATTTAAATAAAAATTATACATATTTATAATAATGTAATGAGTAATATTATAGTAAATTAATTTATTGTATGGAAAGGTAGATACCTAATTTATTAATGATGACTCAGCATAATACAAAAAAGAATATTCTAAGATTAAATCAAAATTTACTAGGTAGTTAAGAATCTAAATAGTTTACAAAACACTCAAAATAATTTTATCCATATTAAGTAGATTAATAAATGTCAAAGAAATAATTTACAGAAATGTTTACATCAACAATGATGTAATAATTTCATCATATATATCTCTATTGTTAATTTGTAAAATAAAAAAATTACATACCACATTTATTGGCGCTCGCCAGACGGCAACGCACCAACGTGTATAAATTCCATCGTGACGGATTTACATGTCTAGTTTTTGATCGAGGATGGCCTGCGTTCGCGAATAAAATTGAAACTAAGAACTCGCAAAACAATGCGCAAAAGTGCAAAATCAAAGATAAGAAACACAATGGGGAAACAAAATTGTACAGAACACACTCCTCAGCTGTTATGGTTACGATTATAATTTATGTCGAACAAAACATTAGAGCACGCAATTGAACGACGGAATGAAACTGGGCTAATTCTTAAATAATAGTGCGCTTAAAAAACAAAACGAATAGTAATGCAACAACTTAAAGCATAATATATATACACACATGCAAACAATTTAATATTTTAATTTATTTATTTCATATTTTTAATCACTGCAATAATAACAACAATAACAATAAAGGAAATAATCGGAGACTCGTTATCATCTGTGCTGGTTGGTCCATATGTTCACCTGGCCATCGGATCAGCTGACAGATTGTGTATGGCTGAAGGCTTTTGCTCGATATTATTTCGCGGCTATCAACATCATGAATCGCAATCTCCGCATTACATATTATGGCGTTTTGTTCGACTTGTTTGTCGAAGGTCGTGTCCCAGAATAACGTTATTATTGTTATTATAATGATTGCACGACTTACCAGTAATGCTAATACATAAGTAGTTTAATTGGATTATATGTGTTTATAATATCAATAATAACATAAATATTAAATGCACATTATTTATCAGGTACCTACAAATATATAATATAATAACCAGAATACTGATAGCATAATGTACCTATAGGTATAGTAAGTATTATTTATTTAAACGGAAATCTTATTAATTTTTCAATGTTTGATTTGTGTTACAATTTACAAGATACCTTAACTTGATATAGTATAGTCGTATAATAGGCAGGTATTATGTTATAATTGTATTATATAAGTGAACTAATTAATATTTAATTTATTAATTAAATGAAAAATAGATTATTTTTTTTTTTATTTTTAACAACTTTGGCGTATAAATGTAATCATTAATAGATTAACATTGAACAATTTAAAATGTATATAATATATTATATTATATTATAATTTAATATATATAGTATAATAATTATACTAGGTAATGTTAATGTATACTTTTATAAAAATTCTATTTAACGGTTTTAGTTAATTTTTTGCTAGTAATTTCGTTGTTACATTTACGTATATTACTAATTATTTAATTATAAATTAAATGTTTTAATTATTTAAACTAATTTTAAGTTATTTATAATTTATATCACAATTCTATTCAAACTGTTCTAATATACCTACGTAAGTGTTGGATGATATTCTTAGAAATAAAATCTAACACATCGTATCCGCTCAGAATTATTTTTTTTATGCAATGATTTTTTATTGACAATTGAAATCAAATTTAACACATTCAGTGATAATAGTAACTATAGATACATTACACAAATACACAATTATGAAGTACACTTGAAATTTTGAATCATATAATACGTCAATACAGTAATACAGTAGAGTGGCTTCCCGATTTTTTATAAATAAACATTATGTTCATAAATATAAAATACATAATTATTAATTATACATTTAATAAACAAATTGTATGTTAAGCAATTGGCTTGTATTAGATATTAATATATTATATATAACTATAAAGTATAAAAGATTACAAGATTAATTATTAAAAAAAAATATATTGTTATTTTTATTGTATTAGGTATAATTTAAGATAATTTAAAAAAAAAATTAAAACCTTCAAAATGTTTACAATTAAAAATAAAATATATATTTACACACACGCACAAACATATGTTTACAGAATACATATCATAATAATTTTACTACAGACTGCAGACATATTATGCATTACGGTATACATTGATAATTTTATATAACGTCAGTATGACACAAATATATATTGACGTTCTTTTATCTATCTAATCTTTAAGTCATGAAATCTGCATATCCAACTATCCTGCAATAAGCCCTACTAATTGCCACGATACTATAAAATTACACTTTTAAAATATTAAAAATTTATAAAAATGTTGATCTTTACATAAAAATTGTTAAGACACACCTAGTATAACTGTTAAGCTAGCTAAAAACTAATTTTTAAAAACTTTAAATAATAAAGATGTTTAGTTATAAATTAGTGATTATTTAGGTATAATATATATAATTTTATTAAATATTATACAGATACTTATAGCTAGAGGTGTATATACTTCCTATAATGTAGAATGTTTAGGGAAGTAGGATTCATTTTCTCAATATTATTTATAGGAGTTTCATTTATAATTTCTCAAAATGGTCACTTAGTTGTCTTACAAGTCAGTTGATATGAATCAATAGTAAAAAATTCAAATATTTTAATATTTTCAAAGAGAATAGGCGTCAAAATTAAATATATAAAATCATAGGCCAATTTTTTTAAAAAAGAAAGATTTAAAGCGAAAAATATCAGCACAAACGCTAGATCTAGTATAACAAGTTAACAAATAACACTAATAATTTAGCATAGCTAAACGAAAACAAAATCATTGTCATCAACATTTGTAAAGTTAATATATCGAATTACAAAAGAACGTTGTAAATACTCGTGATATAAATAGGAAATAATTTAAATAAATCTAAATATTTTGAAAATGTTGTATTTGTAAAAAAGAGCAATAGACACAAAAATATTAGTTCTTTACAAATAAAATATTTAAATCACAATAAAATAAATAAATTCGTTATTCTTTGTTTATCTAATTTTTTCAAAATTTAAACTTAAAATATTTATAAAAAAGTGGGGTAATTAAATAAACCACTCTGCTGTACAGTAGGTAACTAGTAGTCAGTAGATATCTGTGTACACTATGTCACTATCGTTGAATAAATCACTGTATCTAATGTGAATACCTGTGTTCAGAATACGATAAAGTATTTTGAATGAAGACAGTCTATCAGTTTATATTACTAAGTACACTTTATGATATATTTATTATATTGTTATTACACAAAAATTATTATTGATTCATCAGTTGAAATTTAACGATTGAGACTAGAAACCTACTTCCTAGTTACTATGAAACTTTAATGATTGAATCTCACCTAATCGCTAATGCCATGTCTTTGACAAATATCTTATTGATGTAGTTTATAATCCCAATTAACGCTGAATCTTAAGACTGGAAAAATGTTTTTTTTTTTTTAAATAACAAAAAACAAACTTTAATGTTTTAAGCAGTGTTTAAAACAAATTATAATTTTTTTTTTAAATTTACATCAATATCTACTTTATAATATAAAAGTACATTATAAAGTATATTACCTATGCAGTAGTTTAAAATAAATTCAAATTAAATTCTAACCATAATAATTAATAAAATTGAAAATATTGCTTGTGAATTAAATTACGTACCTACATATATATTGATTATATAAATCATGATCTACACATCAAATTAATATTTCTTAGAGAACATTATAATACAATTTGATATATTTTTTTAAACGTCAATTTAAATGTTTTAAACAAAACCATTTGTTAAAAATACAACCACATTCCAACCCTAACTTACTTACATACTAAGTATGTAAATATTTAATAAATCACTATTTATGTTTCCGTGATTATTTACGAATTTAAAACTTTCAAAGCACTATTCTGTGTTATACTACTCTAATAAACATTGTCTAAAATTTAAAATCAATGGTTTCCAAACTGTTTCAATGAAATTAGAATCGCACCTATTTCATTTTTGGTGGAAACAGATCAGGTCACTTAGGAATTGATATCATGGTTTCATCATTAGGTAGGTACCTTTATGTTTTGGTATTTTTTAATTTTTCTTATATTCATTTTTATTTAATCTTTTATTTATAGGTGTTTATACAAAAAATGTTTGATGTGTTAAGTGTTTACTACACTATTGGTAAATAATAAACAATAATTTCAATTTCAGTGTTAGGTATAATATGTCTTACCGTTTTTTTGTAATTGTAGGTACCTACTACCTTTAGAAAATACATGAAAATAATAGATACTATAATGATATCGATAGACAATTCATACCATTTGAACTGAAAAAAACATTAATTATTTATCAACGAGACCTATAAAAAAACAAATTGCTTTTATACGTAGATAATTTATTTTCAGAATGACTTCGTAATTTCGTATCTTCAATAATGATATACGTAGATGTAGATGTAATAATATGTAACCCTGTTGTTTTTCTTTTTAGTTCATGGAGGTATTAGTTTACCTCCATTACCCCTCCACTAGTCGTTCACCGCTCTATATACCGTTATCTACGATGTATTTTAATTGTTTTAGAGATAACCTTGTCGTCTTCAAGCCTAAAAGTTGATTCTCTACGAGTGGTATCAGACAGAACTTTTTGGTTAACGTTAACGCCCGTTATTGCATCGACTTTTTTTCAATTTTTATTAAATCAATAATTTCATCATGCTTGGCTCAAAAGCCGTTCAAGCGTTTAGGCAGTTCTCAACTACTGCAGTCAAAAGAGGACACGCTTATGAAGGTCCCGGACATGTAAGTAAAAAAAAAAAAAAAACGTGTTTTGGGGTTATCTTTAGTTTTTTTTTTGGATACTTTTGATTTTTTAAAACATAACTACGCTAATATTATATTTATTGTTTCTGTTTGCTCTGCAACAAGTTGGCAAATATTCTGTTTAAAACCAATATATTTTAAACGCACACTATATAGAATTCAAACGTTACAATTTTCAATGTAAACATTTTAGCTAAATATTTAGTTTATTAAAATAGCTTTGATTTTTTGAAATTAAAAGATTTAGATCGTCTAATAAATATTTCATATTTTCACATTTTTCCAATGATCAAATCAGATGTATAATTAGTAATGAAGATAAAGATAAGTAATCACCATTTTATCTAAACTTGATTGATTTTAAAGTTGGATGACAAATTATGCTTGCATACTTACTAAAATTTGATTTATTAATGTTTGGCTAAGTGTTGGAGATTCTGCCAACATATTCATCGTGGATTTTTTTTATGTGTTTTTATATTGATGTTCTCATAGCAATATTTATAATTTATAAACAAATAGTATGAACTAATTATTTTACCTGTTACAATGATTATAAATAATCATGATTAATTTAAAAAATATTTACTTTCAATTGCACTATTTGAATTTTTAAGTTATTTTAATTTGAATATTGATACAATATTGAAAAAAAAAATAATATACAACACTTGTAAATATTAAATTATAGTAATAATATGAATTTAACTTCATGTATTTTTTTTATAATATAAAACACCATTGGCGTGCAAGAGTTATCCTATGTCCTTAATGTTTTAAAGGATAAAAATATAAAATATAATAACCATACATATATAATAAGTTATAATTTTATGATTTAAATATTTAAAGAGTAGTTTATAAGTTAATTTATTTACTTTTTTTAACTTAATCACTAATTTTTATAAATAAAATGTGTATGTATTGATACAAATTGGTTCATATTCAAGTATACCAATAATATGTTTTAGACTCAGATATTTATATAAATTAGTGTTATAAGTAATTCATATTGGTAACATTTTTCTTAAAAATATTGATGGCATTTATCAATAAATATTTAGTATTACATCATAAATTGAAATAAATGGCGTGATATTTTTAATTATTCCTATTAAGTACTGTCTGTAAACCAGGATTAATATTAGGCAAATTTAATGAAAGTTTAAATATATTGTATTCAGACATTTAACATACAAAAATGTTATTGATTTTTAGCATTTATTCACACCAATATTCTTAAAATATAAAACATTAATAGAAATTCAATGTAGTAAGTTTGTTATTGTATGAAAGTAATTAAATAATTATAATAGTTAAATGATATGAGAGAATTTAGTTAGTTGATATAATTTAATTTAAAAGCATAGTAAATAATATTGTAAGATGTCTATGATATTTTTTAAGATATATTTGTGTCAACAAAAAGTACAATTGTGTAAAGGTGATATAACAATGAAAAAATTCAAAACAAAAATTAGAAAACATTAAAAATATTCTCGTATTCCCAATCTTGCTACAATTTGAGGTATGCTATGTAATTAAAGATTATAATATTATGATTTATAATTAACTATTATTATCCCACTAAGTTCACTAATTCACTAAATTTATGAAAAGTGATCTAACTACTTACAGATAAAATAATAAGATACAATAAATATTTTGGTGTTAGACAAAGACGTGTAAATTAAAATTTAAAAGAACATAAAAAAAAACTAAGAATAATGTAAAACTTCACAATTTAAACAAATTCTAAAATTATTACCTACTTATTTTTTTTAAATTCATACTAAATTTATGTGTAAGGAACCAAATATTCACCATAAAAATAAGAGAACTTTTTCAGTGTATACTAATGTCATGAATTGGAAAAAATGCAATTAAATTTGAAAAATTTAAAAATAATAAATTTTTACCGTGAAAATTACAAAAGATATATTTTCCTTAATCTATTTATTTACTGAATAATTAGAATATTATATTATGTGAACATTTGTAAATTAAACAACATTACATCTAAAATAATTTTTATGTTTTAGAATTTGCCATTTGATGTGTTCAGCAAGTACAAGTTTACTCTTTACACAGCACTTTTCTTTAGCTCCGGTTTTGGTCTTCCATTTTTAATGGTCAGATATGTTAGGAAGAGAAGTGGATAAAATATCGTCTTCAACTTTTTATGGTAATGAAATACTTTCTTTTATCTTTAAAAATATTACTATTTTTAATGTTTTTTTTTTTTTTTTTTTTTAGTTAAAACAAAATCATTCCAAATAGCATTCAATTACACATAATTATTATGAAACTTTTTTTTTTTAAATTTTAGCGCAATGTTCAATTGATATTTTTCTGTCAAATTAAATAAATAAACTTCAAAACTATGTAAATTATTTATTTTTTCAATTTTGGCCTATTTATATTTTAATTAGTAACTTCACTTTCTTATATTATACTTCTATACATAACCTATTGATTACAATTGGACCATAGTTATAAATCATCTATAAATATTGTAATACAAGTTATAGAGTACATAATTTAATATGTATACCTCATTTTTGCCATTTAATATTACTTAGGTACTATATAACAAATAGTTTAGATTGTGAAATATTTTAAAGAAGTTAATATACTTGTAATTCAGTAGTATTTTTTAGAGAATTAACTATTTTGCCTTTAAGGAGAGCTTACAATTATTATGCTTAAAGTTTGATAAGTTTCCACGTGATACATGTAGGTAATCGGTTACATATGTAAGTTACCTTATATTTTAAGGAAACTTTCTAGATTGTTGTTATCTTGGAATACTTATATTTAACTTCTGAATCATTCCATTATATATTTTTTCACCTGCATTGATTTAATTAATATCAACTTAAAAATCTAGATGACCTATTTTTTTCTCTTATCAATTATGTTGGAATAAATTTCCTTTGTTATTTATCTCAAAGGCTTAATGTCTCAATCATACAATATGTAAAATATAAGTTTTGTTACTTATTTTTCTATTTTTATAAAACAAATGAGACATTAATATGTAAAAACATATTATATTTATTGATGTAATGGTAACATTTCAATACAAATATACATATTATAAAAACAATAAGTATTAATAAGTAAAAACATGATTATTGACTAGTGTGTTGCTTTCTGTCAATAGAAATAAAAATTATGGTATGGTTTTAATCATTGATAATATCAACATCAAATAAAACAAATATATATTTTTAAAATTCTGATTTGCATTGTTTAGAGCTAATGGACCTAATTCTTTGATATCCATACACTGTCCTTTTTTTATTTGTCTCTCATTACCAAAACTATCTTTTGGTACTATACACAAATTTGTTGAATCCTAAAACAGTCCAAGTAATTTAATTATAATGAGTTAAAATAAACAATATGGTTAATCATGTATAAATATTTATTTACTTTAATAAAAGAAGCTTTAATAGTTTGAGATCGCAAATTATAAGGAACTAATCTAGAAGATTTCCTGTCTTCTAATTTATTACCACCAGTAAATATAACAAAGTCAGCAATGTCTTCTTTATTTTGAAGCACAAACCAATCAATTTTCATATAACTACTGCCTGACCTGAAAACACATTTAAATAAAATATATAGTCGATATAATAAATTATTATGAGTATTATTTTAGGCCTAACATATATTTTTACCCATTATAAATCAATATTAAAATTGAAATTAAAAAAGATTAATTTTTTATAATTTAAAATGTTTCTATATAGGTTCATAAATTATTCAAAATAAACAGTTTTTATTGGAACAAAAAAAATTAAACATTTAAAAGTGTATTTGATTTATCTTACTTATTTTGATTAATAATTGTTCAATACCTAAAAATAATAGCAAATTATTTGATTTGAGGTTAATAAGTTAATAAAGATAATATTGCATTATATGCAAGTCATATTATAATAATTATTATTAAGCATTTAAAAGATGAGGTTTAACTAAGAAATTTGTATACATAAGTAGGAGTTGGTTTTAGTACAGTTCAAACATTGTTATTTATCAATAGGCACTGATAACTGAGCATTATAATTTTGTTTTTAGTTGGATTATTTTTTTTGCTTAGTTTTCATAATGTTTAATGATTTATATGTTTATATATTTGATATTTAAAGCATAATTTAAAGTAATTTAAATTTATGATAAATTGTTTATTTTTTCTATTTTTATAAATTTAAATTTAAAGTTATGTTCTATGTATAATACAAAATTATTTTATCCATAAATAAAACATGAGAACTATAACTTTATTTTTTGAAACAACTCATTCTTTAATTATTATTGATTTATTATAATAAAAATATAAAGATATAAAACAAAATTATTTCTACTATAAATCTAATGGCCATTTAAAATTTCCATAACTAATAATATTTACCTTTTTATCTGCCTAAATTTTACATCTGGTGTTTCAACAAATGAATCATTATCATCTTCTATAGGAATATCACAAATTAATTCTCTTTCACTTAAATTTGATACAAAAGAAACTTCTGATGTTAATAACTGCACACATGTTATATTATCCCATTGTGGATCTGGATTAAGTTTAGAATTAAGCATCCTTTTGATGGGAATCAATGAACAATCGCATTCAATAGGATTACCTAAAGATGCATATAGTTTATTAATTATTAAATTATATTCGGTTTATTTAATAATATATAGAATTATGTAATAATTGGTAAGATATTTCTAAATATTAGATACAACTCTGTATGATACCAACCTTTAAATGAAATAGTAGTTCCTTTATTTACAATTTTAGCCAATTCAGGCGGAAAATTATTAAATAGGTTGTTTTCTACATTAAAATCTTTTAATTTTGGAACAAAGCTTATGATCTCTTTTGAAAGTTTTGTTAATTTATTGTTGGACATCAACAATACAGACATATTGTTAGGCATATTACCTGCTTTTTTCAATGATTCTAAATTATTAAATGATAAATCCAATACGTTTAATGATGTTAAATTTCCAAGAACACCTAAAATATAAATATGTATTGTATTTTAATAATTAATATGTAAATACTGGGTAGCGAATACTAATTAGTTATTTACTAAATTTACCAACACTAATAGGTACTTATTAAGTTATATGAGTTGTACACAAATATATGTATAATAATTTTAATCATATTGTTCAGGAGTTTATATTTTATAATTTTTATACTGTATAATATAATATTACCTGGTCGTATTTCATCGATAGAGTTATGACTTAAGTTAAGATATTTAACTTTTTGTGTTCCAACTGTTATATCATGTGTTAAAATTGGTATTTCATTAAAACTTATATCAATTGATTCTAAGTAACTGGGTGTATACATATGATTTGGAAATGATTTTTTGGTGAAAAATGAAAACTGATTATGACTTAAATTCAACTGTAAATATTTTAATTTATTAAGGATTACTATACTAGGTAAATAATTCAAATGAATAGTATTAATTACTTACATATTTAAGAGAAAGACAGTCATCCAATAAACTATTTGTTTTGTTGTCCAAAGAATTTAATAGATTATGTGACACATCTAAAGTTGTCAATGATACCAAACCTATATATTGTAAAAACAAATAAATAATACATGTGCAACACAATGAATTATTATGAATAATCCTTTTTAGTTTTTTCTTTAAATTTTGGTAAAAAAAAAAATGTTTAAACTAAAAAGTTTAATAATATATGTATTGCAAGATTTTTCACAACTAAATCAATAAAATTGTTTTTTTTTTTAGAAATTTAAAATATATAAGCATCAATTTTTTAAATTATAATTTAAATGATATTAGATAATATTTAGTTAGGAATAATGATATGTTATTTTGTTGTAACTCAAAATATTATTCAGAGAGAATTGAAACTATAGCCTATATTATTATTGTATTTTATACAAGACATTTGAAAATGGAATGTTTTCAGAAAATATTAATTGAACCTAGTACCAAATTATTAATGATAAAATTAATTACTTTAAATGATACTTAATATAATTATCATAAAATAAACTTAATAATATGCTAACAGATGGTATTTGCTCATAATCATTTTCCGCATGTAATAATAAATTCACTGAATTTAAATTAAACACATGAATATCAGAGACTTACTTGATAATACAGTACATGCTACTCTTATCATATAAAAATTAATTATTTACTTTCCCCCTTTTTAAATTAAATTTTTTTTTTTGTTAATAATTAAATATCTATAAATCACATTTTATTTTTTTAATTTTTCAATTAAAAAACCAACCGTTTCATAAATAAAATACCTACTAACCTTTAAATGCACCATTAGGTATTTCAGTTAAACTGTTTTCAGTCAAATTCAATAATTGCAATTGTAATAGCCCATCAAAAGCCTGAGATTCGACTTGAGTGATATTATTCTGTGACAGATCCAGATAAAATACAACAGGCAATACTCCAAAAGCCTTTGTACTGAGATGTGTAATGCTGTTACCCTAAAAAGTTATGTAAAATACATATGTATAGGTATGTATTAATATATTTTGGTAGATACTTAATCAAAGTATCTAATAGCATTCAATATGATATTACTCTTAATGATAAATGTCTTGTTGAAACAAGTTGGTTTAGCGCTTCAGCTGGTGGTATTGTGATAGAATTATAATCCAAATTTAAGCTTTGCAAAGACAATAACTTTGAAAACGATCCACTGTTCAAACTGTCGCCTAACGTATTGTAACTTAAATCCAACGAGAGGAGTGCATTCATCGATGGCCAAGCTCGGTCAGGTCCAATATCTTTGATAATATTATGACTTACTTCTAAATTTGACAATGATATCGGAATGGTTGGTATTTGAGAGATATTGTTGTATCTTAAATCTAAGTGACTCAACGATGACATTTTAACAAATGTTGCAGCATTAATTTTTTTTATGGAATTATTATTCAAATATAATTCGAGTACAGTTGGTAGAGTGCCAAATGTTGTAGACTTCAAGTCTTCCAATGCATTGTGGCTGAGGTTGATAGACCGTAAACTGAGAAGCGACTGGAACACGGAGGGACTTATGGATTTTAAACGGTTGTAGCTGAAGTCCAATGTATGTAGTTCGTAAAGCTTTGGAAATGTACCTTTAGGTATTACCTTAATGTTGTTGTGTGTAACGTTTAAGATTTTAATACCTGCCATGTTGGTAATTGGTACCTAAATAATTTTATATTATTAATTAAGTATTATATTCACAATTCGTAAGAAAATAGGTTAAGTATAGGTACTA